TATTTCATCCTGTTCTTCCATATCGCATTCCTGGTAAGTTATTGTTTCCTTTATGCAAAGCTTGTGCCATCTCTCTCAACCAGAATCCATGCACACACTCTGAGCAAGAGAGGTCTATTCTTGGGACATGGTGTCACCTTGAGTTATTGAAAGCCATTGAGAAGGGGTATGAAATTTTAAAGATACATGAGGTGTGGCACTTTCCGGAGCAGTCCGATAACCTATTTAAAGATTATGTTAACACATTCCTAAAAATAGGTACGCAATGCGTACATGTGGGTAGCCTGTAATGCGATAAAGCTGCTATAATCGCGAGTAAATATCAACTGATGCAATAAAATATTATTTTCTAGTCTTATGTTCTAATGCCATAGACAACGGAATAAAGGCCATATAGTTAGCTGGTTGAATACAGTTATAACGAAGTTTATTTATTCAGGGCCGTAACTACAACGATAATTGGGGGGGGGGTGTTTATTCATATATTCAGTTTTGCCCGACGGATTTCTATTGTAAGCTATTGCACTTACAAAAGAAACCCGTCGGGCAGAACTGAATATATGAATAAACACCCCCCCAATTATCGTTCTAGTTACGGCCCTGGATTTATCATGCAATCTTTATGCAATCTATATATTATAATATTTTATTGTATTAAATACATTTTAAGACAGGTCAAAACATATATAAAAGCATTTTTACAAGAGATAGGAAATGAAATTTTTTAAGCAGAATAGGTGAACAGAACAAAAAGGAGAGTAAGTTTCCGAGATGGTGGCACACATTGTCTGATAACATAAAGCTTAGTTTAGAAGCAGAAAGATCTTAACAAAGATTTCATTGAGGATAAACTACTTGATTTGCCAGATCATTTTACAGTCACATAACAAAGAGTCCAAAATTGTTTCAAATGTTTCGCATTAACATTTTTTAAGGACTTATCTATGTATCTGAACAATATTTTAAAGATTTTTGATCAGTTGAAATGCACTTTTGTTAACAGTTTTTTTTTGAACTCCAAAGCATTTGGTTTAATAGCCGCATGTCCACAAGCAAGAAATTGACAAGTGAAATATTGTATTATAATTTATAAAACAGGGCAACTTGTTACTACCATTTGCTGAATTATAATTTATAAAACAGGGCAACTTGTTACTACCATTTGCATTAATTAAGGTAATGTATTTGGTTTAATAGCTGCATGTCTACCAGCAAGAAATTGGCAGGTGAAATATTGCATAATAATTTTTAATTCATAAAACAGGGCAACTTGTTACTACCATTTGCAATAAGGTAATGTATTTGGTTTAATAGCTGCATGTCCACAAGCAAGAAATTGACAGGTGAAATATTGCATTATAATTTATAAAACAGGGCAACTTGTTACTACCATTTGCTGAATTATAATTTATAAAACAGGGCAACTTGTTACTACCATTTGCATTAATTAAGGTAATGTATTTGGTTTAATAGCTGCATGTCTACCAGCAAGAAATTGGCAGGTGAAATATTGCATAATAATTTTTAATTCATAAAACAGGGCAACTTGTTACTACCATTTGCAATAAGGTAATGTATTGGTTTAATAGCTGCATGTCCACAAGCAAGAAATTGACAGGTGAAATATTGCATTATAATTTATAAAACAGGGCAACTTGTTACTACCATTTGCTGAATTATAATTTATAAAACAGGGCAACTTGTTACTACCATTTGCATTAATTAAGGTAATGTATTTGGTTTAATAGCTGCATGTCTACCAGCAAGAAATTGGCAGGTGAAATATTGCATAATAATTTTTAATTCATAAAACAGGGCAACTTGTTACTACCATTTGCAATAAGGTAATGTATTTGGTTTAATAGCTGCATGTCCACAAGCAAGAAATTGACAAGTGAAATATTGCATTATAAGTTATAAAACAGGGCAACTTGTTACTATTTATTTCCTATTATTGTAACTTTGTAGTTGTAGATTCAACGCTCACCGATCACCGCTTTTTCGTCTTTAATTATAAAAGTACTCAACATCGCTTTAAAATTTGACAAACGTATTAACGTAACTTCGGTTGCTTCCGTCCTTCGAAAACAACGAAATTTTCCGGAAGTAAAACGTACCGTTCGTCATATATCCGACGTTTGCCGAAGATTATCTGACGATTGCCACACACACACACACACACACACAGATCCGGACACTTTTTCGACTACATAGTGGTTAGCCGCGCATGCGCAGGCTACCCACAAAAATAAAGCAAGAAGCAAGTGGTTTTCCAAAGGATTGTATTACAGAAGAGCAGAAGCAATCCTATATTAATATGTATCAAGAACATGAAGATGTAAAATTAGAGATGGAGAAGATTGAACACAATCCTGGCTTACGTGCCTTGGCAAAGTTAATGTTAAATTCATTTTGGGGTATGTATAAATAATAAAAAATATTAAATTATAAAATATTACATTATTAAAGAATAATAATTTTTATTATATAGGTAAATTTGCACAACGTTCAAATGTATCAAAAACCGAGATGATTACAGAACCTCAAAGATATTTTGATCTTCTCTCCTCCGATCAATATGAAATCCATGACGTAAAGATAGTGAATGATAATATGTTAGAGGTACAATACAAAAACGTTGATGAATTTTTGGAGCCTAATAACAAGACGAATGTTGTTATCGCAGCTTTCACCACAGCGTATGCTCAATTGAAATTATATGATCTTTTGGATATATTAGGTGAACGTGCACTTTATTATGACACCGACTCAGTTATTTATATATCCAGAGAGAATGAATTGGAACCTCCTTTGGGAAATTATTTGGGAGATCGTACCGACGAATTAAATGGAAAGTATATTACAACCTTTATGTCAGGAGGACCAAAGAATTATGCCTATTATACTAATGATAATAGGTCGGAGACAAAAATTCGTGGTATCACATTGAATCATTCTGTTAGCAAAAAGATAAACCCAAGTACAGTTCGAGCTCTTGTATATCTACATGCAGAATGTGATGTAAAAGCAAAAATTACCATTACTAACCCTTTCAAGATTACAAGAGATAAACAAAGGAAAAACATTGTTACCAAAGAAATGAAAAAAGATTATCGTATAATTTATGATAAACGTGTTTTGATAAATGATTTCAAAACAGTACCATATGGATTTTAAAAAGACACGCGGAGATATTAAGGACACGCGGAGATATTATAAAACACGTGTAGAAATATGTAGAAATAAAAGTTGTTGTGTGAGTTTTACTTCATTCGCTTTTTTGTCTTCAACATGAATGCTACACATTACATAATTGTTACGTTCAGGGAAGAGCGTCTATGTAAAGATATTCAAGACTATTTACAAAGAAAAAAAAGCAAACATAATTGGATTGTTAAGAGTTCATCCCGAGTTCATCATGACGTACTCATATGGTGGGAGGAAAAGAAAGAGTTCTCGGGTACTCCTTTACGTTCATTTCTTAAACGAATGAGAGATAAAGAAATACTCCATGGACATGCAATACCATGTTTTACAATTTCAAAGAAAATGAGAACGGAATATATTGCAAGAAAATTTCCTAATATTCTCTCAAGCGATTTTACTAATGTAAATGATGATCTATATCATGTTATTCATCATTTTGCACATTTAACATCAATTGGTATGGATGACATGGATGACATGGAAATAAAGAAAGAGAAGGTAGAAGAGAAGATGGAAGAAAAGGAAGAGGAAATGCAAGAAGACACCCCCCCGCCCCCACCCCCATCTTCACCGTTGTTAATACCTTCATCGACATCGGAATTAGTACCTCCATCACCATTATCATCATGGAATGAAGAGAATGAAGACATTCCCCCAGTGTCAGAAGTTTTAGAAAGACTAGAGAAGAAAACAGATTTGATAATGCGAACAATTCTTCGTTTGATAAAGATAATAAAGCAAATGCCTGAGTGCGGTAGTAGTGGTAGTAGTGGTAGTAGTGGTAGTAGTAGTTCCTCCACCTCAGGACCCGAAGTACTTGCTTAAAAGAATATTGACAATATACTTATATGACACTTATTACTATGTTTGATTTTATATGTTTTATTGTAAATGTTTTTTATTAAAAATATTTTATATACATTTGTTTTTTGTCTTTTTATTTATACATAATTAATTTTAAACATTAAATTTGACTCATTCCCTATTAATGGAGACGTTGGTAACATTTGTTTACATTCAATAGTAAAACCTATATCTGTGATTTTTGGATGAAAATCGAATACTTTATTTAAAAGAAATATTTTTCCTGAGTTTGATCTTCTATATAGGTTTTTATCTGAGTAATCTATAGAACCTAAAGCTTCTGTTCTATTAGCTGCAATATCACTATAAATTGTCACTCTGAAAGAGAACTTTAAATTAGTTGGAAGGGTTGCATCATTATCAAATATTTGAGTTTGAAAGAAAAGTTCCACTGATTTCGTATCGTGTGTAGGAAATATGCGATTAGGAAAACCATTAAAATCCACTTTTTCATAACACCATTTATTAGCATCGGTTGTTGACTCTGGTGAGATAAAATAATATTTTGGAACGGATATTATCATCGCAGCAAGTTTTACATCATTAGCGATTGTTGTAATGAGATTTCTTAATATAATACTTAGGTTATCAGGACCAATTTTCAATGTATCATTTGGAATAATATTTCCATCGTTCCTTCTTCTCCCAGCAAGAAGAACATCTCCAACCATAGTATCAAAAAATTTATGTTTATCAAAACCACTTTGATGAGGGAAAAAGCGATTATTCTGTAAATTTGAATTTTGATAATTTTGCGTGGAGAAATTTTTAAATTTGAATCCTTCATAAACGGTTAATGACATTTTACTACCATTACCATTAATGGGATCCTCCAATTTTGAGGTTGTGAAGAAAAATTCAATTCTAAAATGTGTTACATTAAATGTTGATGTTGGTGCTCGAGCTAAATAGTATTCAAAGATTTCATCCTACACTTTTATTGTTCCAATACTTTTTATTGATCCTGCTTGGGTCAATAAAGTGACCCCTGACTCGGCTGTATCGAAAGTTACATTTCGATAACTTCGTAAACCGTGCTTTGTATTACCATGAAACATAACAGCAAATATTACCCCATATGGACTCTTATCAGTATCAGCTGCATAAAAAACGACAGCTGTTAGACTATCGCTTGAGTCAGTCTCCTGTTTTAATTCTAAACCTTTGCGTGCTCCTAAAAGGGGAATCTTTCTTCCATCTTTTTCTCTGGTTGCTGTTAAATTTCTTCCACGACCTACAGGTTTCCAACTACCGCTTTCACTAAAATTAAAAGTACTGTAAGTACCTCTACTTGTTCCTTGGGTGTCAATATAGTCTACCTTCTTAAAACTTTTATCGACCATTACAAGCTGGCGTTTTTCCAAAGTACAAAGATTTCCTATGGGACCGGTAGGTCCAGTAGGTCCTTGTTGTCCATCAGAGCCTCTAGGACCTACAGGTCCTTGAGGTCCTTGAGGTCCTTGTTTTCCTTGCTGTCCTTGCGGTCCCTGCGATCCTTGTAGTCCTTGTAGTCCTTGTTGTCCTTGTGGTCCTTGCGGTCCTGGTTGTCCTGTAGGTCCTGCAGGACCTACATTACCAACGTCACCTTTATCTCCTTGAATACCTCTATCCCCCTTGACTTCATTAGCTCCTCGTGGCCCCTGAGGTCCTGTATTGCCTTGGGTGCCTCTATCTCCTTTTGGTCCTTGCAGTCCTTGTGATCCTTGGTCACCTTTTTCACCTCGAGGTCCATCATCTCCTTTAACACCTCGCGGTCCTGTATTTCCTATGGGACCGTTTCGACCTGGCGTTTCCGTAGGTCCTGTACGCCCCGTAGGACCTGTCGATCCCACAGGACCTGTGCGTCCTTGAGATCCTGTTGGTCCTGGAGGTCCTTGAGGTCCTTGAGGACCTGGATCACCTTTTGCTGCAGCAGTACCAGGAATTCCCTGGGGTCCCTGTGCTCCTTGAGGTCCTTGTGCCCCTGTAGGTCCAGTTTGACCAATTGGCCCAAGTTGACCTCGTAGTCCTTGTAGTCCACGGGATCCTTGAGGTCCCTGTGAACCTTGTTGTCCTTGTGGACCTACTGACCCAGGATCACCTTTTGGTCCTTTTACTCCTTGTATTCCTCGCTCTCCGCGTTGTCCTTGTGGTCCCTGTGGTCCAATTTCACCTGGAGTGCCTGCACCTCCTTTTGCATTTTTTGGAGTATATTGATACTCATACCCAAAATTAAGATTACCACTAGAGTAAGGATATCCTCTCTTCATTATGAGTGGTTTATAAATAAGTAAAATGTTTAAAAACCATTACTTAAGAAGAATACATATAATATATTATTTCAAAATGAATAAAACCTCACGTTGTAAACATGGGAGCAAAAAAATCAAAAGCACGTTTAAATAAAAATATAGAAAAACATGGGGCATGTAAAGTAGGAATAAGTTTAGGTCATAAAGATTTAAAAACAGAGGGTAATTTTCAAGTGGGATACTCATTGAAAATAAATAAAGATTATAAACCTATTGAGCATCAGATAGGTCAGAGACTACTTCCTATAAAAGAGGAAGAAGAATTTAAAGAACCATAATTGAAGAAGAGGAAGGATCTATATGTTTAACTCCTAATATACCAGCAATTAAAGAAGAAGAAGAAGAAGAAGACAATGGATGATTATCTTTCCAACATTTACTACAATCCAAAACGTACAGGAGGGCTTGGGGGTGTAGAACGATTATATAATGATGTAAAAAAGGACGGAAAATATAATATATCAAAAAAGAAAATAGAGGAATGGTTAATGAAACAAGATACTTATACATTACATAAACCTGCTCGTCGTCGATTCGGTAGAAATAGAGTTATTGTTGGCGGAATAGATGAATTATGGCAGATGGATTTAGCCGATATGCAAACAATGGCAAAAGAGAATGATGGATATCGATATTTACTTGTTTGCATTGATGTATTTTCAAAATTTCTATTGGTTATTCCATTAAAAGATAAAACAGGACCAACATTAGTCGATGCATTTAAAATTATACTAGAGTCTGGACGAAAACCACATAAGATTCAAACAGATCAAGGTACAGAATTCTTTAATAAACATTTTAAAGCTTTAATGAAGAAAGAAGAAATTGAATTATATAACACTTACAATGAAACAAAAGCGTCAATTGTAGAACGTGTAATTCGTACTCTAAAAACAAAAATGTGGCGTTATTTCACTGCTAAGAAAACCATGAGATATATTAATGTTCTACCTGATTTAGTATTTTCATATAATAATAGTAAACATCGTAGTATTAAAAGAAGACCTATTAATGTTACTTTAAAAAATGAGCAAGAGGTATGGCATACACTATATGGAAATAGAAAAAAAATGAAAAAAATAAAATATAAATTTAACATAGGTGATCAAGTAAGAATTAGTAAAATGAAACGTAGATTTGAGAAGGGATATTTACCTAATTTTTCAAAAGAAATCTTTACTATTAGTAAACAAATACCTTGTAATCCTCCAGTTTATAAATTAAAAGATTACGATCAAGAAGAACTAGAAGGAACATTCTATAAAGAAGAGTTACAAAGAATAATTAAGGAAGATGATATTTATGAGGTTGAAGAAATTCTAAAAAAACGTGGAAAAGGTAAAGAGGAATATTTTGTAAAATGCTTAGGATATCCTGCAAAATTTAATTCGTGGATTCCTGCCTCTCAAATAAAAGATATTTAAACAACCTTTTTGTGTTTTTTAGTCATTTATTGTTTGAAACATGAACAACACACACTTCTATATCTCACTTCCTAATGACTCTTCAAAAGATATTTTTCCTGAGAATAAACAAACTGAGTATACAGTAAAACTTCCTCATCGTATTCAACTTGATGGTGAGTGGGAAGTAGCATTACATAATATTTTATATATAAAATGGTCAATAATACCTATAAATGGAGAACCTATTCAATACATAGAAAACGGAACAAAAAAGAAAGGAGAAAAATTAAAAACATACTATGAATCACTTGATGAATACATAAAGGATATTAACAATTCATTTACAGATGAAATTAAAAAGAAAATTAATTTTAAAATCCATTCCAGAAAAGTAACTATCTCTTTAGAAAGTGGATATAAAGTTAATTTACGAAGAGATCAAGCTATTATTCTAGGATTTTTAACATCTGAGGATTCATCTATTGAGAGAAAAATTGAATCAAGCGAGACAGCAACTCATGAGGGAAATCTACATAGAGAAACAGATATTTATGTATACTGTAATATTGTACAACCTCAAATTGTTGGGGATAAAACTATTCCATTACTTGATATTGTTCCTATTAAAAAAAATAGAAAATATGTTAAGCAGACACGTTACATTCCTGTACAAACCAAATCTTTTGAAGAAATACAAATTCTTTTAAGGAGTAGTACAAATGAACCCCTTTCAGATCTGTACCTGCTACCTACCCTATACGACGTGTCGAATGTAAAACCTTTACCATCCCTGGGAATCTTCCTCAAATAAGAAAAGATAATATGTTTGCAGGAATTATTCCCAAAACATTTATATGTGGATTTGTAGAGGCTGATGCTTTTAGCGGTGTTTATGGTAAAAACCCCTATAACTTTCAACACTTTAATGTGTCATCAGTAACATTGACAGCCAACGGAGAAGAGATACCTTTCAAACAACTTGTTCTTAATTATAAAGAGGACAAAGAAAATTTCATTCAAGCATACAACACACTATTCTCAGGTACAGGAAAAATGAACATGAATACAGGTCTTGATATTGATAGAGAAGATTATTTTAAAGGATTCACCCTTTACGCATGGGATCTTACCCCCGATATGTGTGGTGCTTCTCCCTATTTTAATACAGTACAACGAGGATCGCTGACACTTGACATCACGTTTGCTGCTGGGGATGTTCCTACCAATCCTATTTCTCTCGTATGCTATGGAGATTTTGAAAATATTATACAAATTGACGCAGAGAGAAATGTAATGTATGATATATCCTCATGAATACTAATGAAATCAAAAACATACTTGAACATCATCCTGTAACCAAAAATTATTTTTGTGGAGTATTTGCTGCTAATGAAATTCCAAAAAATTTAAATACTTTCACATGTGGATTTGTCGTTAATATAGATCCAAGTTCAAAACCAGGGACACATTGGGTTGCCTTCTACTTTACTTCTAAAGAAAATGGTGAATTTTTTGATAGCTACGGAAAACCGCCATATTACTATAAAGATATATTCAAACCCTCTTTTGAAACTCTTAAATGGAATAAACGTGTTTTACAAAGTCATTGGACCGAAGTATGTGGACAATATTGCATTTTCTATTTATATCAACGATGTCGAGGATATACAATGAATGAAATTGTAAATATGTTCACTAATAATACATCATGGAATGATTGTAATGTTGCATGTTATGTTAAGAAAAATTTTAATGTTATTATATTTAATCAACCCATTTGTGGACTTAATCAATGTTGTAAAAAATTATTTTAAAAACCAATAAAAAACAAAAATCAATTTTACATTTTAAAAATTTTATTGAAAATATTTTTAATATAAGTACAGCCTTTAAACAAAACATTTTTCATACGTTTTTAAAAACGTATTTACAATCTTAAAATCCTGCAGAGTTCAATTTTCTTCCTTTTCCCCAGTTCTTCCCCACCTTCTTTCCTGTAAGAACGTCTACAATATGTCTAGGTTTAAGCCCAAAGAAATTTCTTCTTTTAAGTTCATAAAGTATATCCCCCGCTCTTTTCATCTTTTTTATCCCAGCATCCCGTAATCTTTTGCGTCCCAAAGTACCTCCACTCTGTCTCTTTCTCTGGGTCCTTCTTTTCCTTTGAGATCCTTTTCTTCCACCCATTTTTATAGTCCTTACTCCTTGAAGGATTGAACAATACTCTCCCCCTTAAAATACTGTTTACATTTTTATTCTTTATTTCTTCAGATGTCAATCAAAAAAACGTTTTCTCTTCATTCTAGTAAGAAGTTTAGCAAATTCCTTATCCTTATTCTTATTCCCTCCACTTTGTGCTCTTCTTCTTTGTCTCGATAGTCTTCTATCATTGGGTGCTAATCCTAACCAATCTCTTTGCATAAAAATAGTCCCCCCTTTTTGATTCTTTTTCCCCTTATTCTTCATCCCCCTCTTTTTCTTCTTTTTCTTCTTCTCCTCAAGCTCGTTCTTCTCTAAACTTTTCCCTAACTTATTGAAAAAACCTATTCCAAAATCAAAACCTTTACCTATTTGAGTTTCGTCCTTACTCTTCGGAAGATTAAACGATACTCTTTTCTTTTGAGTGTTATTTATGTTTTTATCCTCATCCCTTGTATTTTTCCATCTTTCTTCATTTCTTACTAAATCTCTAGGGACATTAATTTTACTCAAAACTTGAAAAAACTCATGTACGCCCACAGGATTAAATGATTTACTTGATCTCATAGCATCTGAAATCAAATCGGAGATATTACTCCTAGGAATAAGAACACCCTCTATTTTGACCTGTCCTGTATTATCCCATGAGATAATTTCTGCTCTAGATCTCAAACGTTCCAAAAGAGCTAAAGCTCTAGCTTTCATAGTTTTAGGAATTCCACGTACAATTACATCATCTGTTAATTCACTCTCTGGTTTGATTGAATTTTCAATCTGTCCTCCTTTTTGTTCACTCTCAAGTTTTTCAAGTCGCGCAAGTTTTTCCTCTGTTATTAACACGAAACGTTTTGCACTCGTACTGAGATACCTTGATTTTTAAGTATAATAGATAAGGCCAGCGGTACAAGTATCGATGCTACAGCACCCCTGCCCTCTTGAACTAAAAATTTCCTCTTCTTCTTAAGTGAAACGTTCCTCTTTACTAATGCATGTAGCTGTTCCTTGTAACGTGTCAAATAACGTTTCTGACGTGAAGTTAACCGTATCACCCCTTTAAGGGCATTTAAAACAATCTCACTAACAGCTAAAATTAAATCGGGGGGGCCGTATTGAAAAATTGCTTTTTGTATTTGCGGTTTTGATTTTGCTAACACTTGAATAAACGGAAGAGTTCTTGCTATATACTCTGACATCTTGTAAATGACATTTTGGTAAGAAACCGTTTTATTATATATTAATCGTAAGATTTAAAAATACATCAACATCCACAGGAACATTTATATTTGAATCAATTGTAAATGTTATCTCGGAAACAATATCAGATTCAATAGGGATAGCAGGATAATTCTCATA